ACTGTTGTAATTTCTCTTCTCGTTCTTCTTGTTTAATTACTCGTTCTTCTTGTTTCTTTTCTTTTTCCTCTAACAACTGTTGTAATTTCTCTTCTCGTTCTTCTTGTTTAATTTCTCGTTCTTCTTGTTTCTTTTCTTTTTCCTCTAACAACTGTTGTAATTTCTCTTCTCGTTCTTCTTGTTTAATTTCTCGTTCTTCTTGTTTCTTTTCTTTTTCCTCTAACAACTGTTGTAATTTCTCTTCTCGTTCTTCTTGTTTCTTTTGCTGTTCGTGTATTGTTGCCATTAAGTCTGCTAGGCTGTAGTTTGATTTGCCGCTTCTCATTTCCATTTTGTTTTCTGTCCCACTCTCTGACACCAATTTGTTACGTCTCCGTTTGTTAATTAACTTTCCGTAACTTCGTTCCGACGAAACTTCAGCGACACAAGTCCTTACTTAATAAAACTGGTTTATTCTTTCCGAATACAACTTTACGATACACTTATTTTCAACAATCACGCTAAAACAACGCTATATCAACGAATGTCAACAATACTTCTGACTGCAGTTCAGTTACTTACTATCTTCACACGCGTTATCCCCGTCACGTCGTCACCCTCTTTTATATACCAGACTACCCTATATCTAGTAAATGCTAGAGCATTCGCCAAAGTACAGGATTGTTCTAGAAAGTAGAGGGCGTAAGAATAGTCACGTGATCTCGATGACGCAACAATAATAACAAAAAATATATTTTCTTATAAGTTATTTTTACATGGTTATTAAAGTTCTCTTTTATAAAAACAACAAAAAGCAGCATCACTCTTTTGTAAGCATCACCAAAATATAATTTCTCACGCAGTAACAATTTAACGCTTTATAATTCCGAATATATTCAATTTCAGCAAAATTGCAGCATCTGTGTTTCACTAATTTTTTTACTTCTTTTCGTGGTGTCTAGGTTAACAAATCTTTTTCCAACTACATTAAGTTAAATCTCAGTTTTTAGCTAAATTAGCAAAACATCAAATGATTATTGGTTTAACTGAAAGATTTTTGAAGTTATATGTTTTTAACACATTAACATTATATTTAAAGTAGCGAATTTCACGATTTGTATAAAATTGTAAAGTATATACATCCAAATGATAATTCTTTCCGTTACCTGACTATTTACTGTCTCATACTAAATAATTTCACTACTGCTTGCTCGATAGTCATTCCTAAATAACTTTAAATAAATATTCAACAATTAAGATCTATTTCTTCTCCTTTTATCGTGTTGTAGTGATTAAATATATCTGCTAATGAAAGGCGTTAGAATCTGTGGCTGTAGTAAACCAATTTCTAAAGCTTTATTGCTGACCCTAAGAAGTTTTTAATTTATTTTTCTACTAGAAATTTTTTGATGCTGCTGTAGTGGATTTGAAGTAAGGAAATATTCGCTTATTACTCTAAATGTGCTAGTTTCTAATTTCTGTAAGTAGTTTAAAAATCATTAGCATCAAAGTATCACGGGTTATTAACCTAACTAATCTGTTGAAGCTATTAGCTGTTCAGCAAATGTTACCGTGTTCTTTGGTGAAGAGAAGAGCAGTGTTAATCGGCTTGCTTGGATTCAACGTAATTTCACACATACATTCCGATGTGTTTCGTTTATGGGGAATTCACAAATAGCGGAAGAAGGTTAATTATTTGGTTTATGGATAAACATACAAAATTGTTTAGGAAGGTGAAAATAGTCAGGTGAAACAAATTTAGTTGTAGCCATCTTGGTTCACCAATGTTCATTATTATTATTAACTATTCTTGGGCTAAAATATAACAGTAAAATGTGTGAACTGAGGTAATCTTTAGTAATTAAAAACATTCAAAAATAAAATAATCATGTACTGCTTATTGTAAATTGATTCATTGTTATAATACATAATCGATAATTGTCTGTGGTCATCAGTACTGTCAGTAAATATAATAAAATCACTTACATAATATCTAATCAAAAACGGCATAACTGTATAAAAGGCGTGACAAAAAAAATAATTGCAACAGAAGGATGTAAAATCAAAGTTTGAGGCCAAAATGAGAAAATACTGATAATTGATGTTTTATGCAAACTATTGTGACTAAGCATTCAGAATTTTACAAAATTTGTAGAGTTTGCATATCAACTACAAGAAATCACATGGGCCGCTGTTTTATGTTTAGCTACGTACCGACAATTGCAATTATTGTTTTTGGCAGCTCTTTTTTTTACAGCTATGTTGTTTTTGATTAGATATCACTCTTTTTTGTTGTACGTTAGGTAAAAATAACCCCAAAGGACATGACTTTGTTACACAGATATAGTGTAGAATAATTAACATCAAGCATCTATTAAATTTGGAGACATTATAAATGCATGTGGGTTTCTTCAGTACTTCAACGACTTTGAGTTCATATTGTTACGTCTCCGTTTGTTAATTAACTTTCCGTAACTTCGTTCCGACAAAACTTGCGACACAAGTTCTTTACTTAATAAAAACTGGTTTATTCTTTGATACACTCAACTTCAACAATCGCGCTAAACAAACGCTATAACAACGAACGTCAATAATACTTCTGACCGCAGATCAATTACTCACTATCTACGCACACACTACATTCCCCTCCCGCGTCACGTTTT